CGGATTGGACTCCTATTACATCTCAGCCTCGAATTGGACTTCTATTACATCTCAGCCTCGGACTGAACTCGGATTTCATCACAGCCTCGGATTGGTCATGTTCTTATGTTAAATCTAAAAGATATGATTGAACATTTTAAAGACCCTTACCCAGGCCTTTCCCGGTTAGATTGTCCAAAATTTTTAATCCTGATACTAAAGCTCAAGGAAATTAGCTTTATATACATTTTTTTTTTTTTAAATAGCTGACCCACCCACTGTAATTCAGTTTACCTGCAAATTCGGCGAAATAAACTATTAATATTAAAATACGAACGCGGTGCAAATTAAAAATTAACAAAATAAAAATGAACTTGGTTTCTTTTCCCACTTTAACAAAAAACAACATATATGAACACTTTTCGCAGTTCCAAACTGAGAATAAATATTTTAAATAAAGAATGTCAGTATGATGTAATATATACTGTAGTGGCAGTGAGAAACTGTTATTTCCAATTTGTATGACCACATATGTTTAGATAACGGAAAACAACTGTACTTGTATACTTGAAAGATATCAATAAAATAGCTGGCAATCGTGGAAAAACACATAGCAAAACATGCTAAACACTGGTAGAAGTTTGACTCATCCGAGGCTGAGATGTAATACGAGTCCAATCCGAGGCTGAGATGTAAAAGTATAATATTCGTTAAAGGTTAACTGAAACCGTCAGTCTGTTGAATTTTTAAAACGTGACTTGTAATCCGAGTCCAATCCGAGGCTGAGAGCAAATCAGTAAATTCGTCGAGAATACTAGGTGTATTCTACTTAAGAGCATAGAATATCATGAATAGTAATCAGAAAAGAAAGTTTAATCGAAATTTATTTGTGATTTTGCCACGGTTAGGGGAACAGAGAGGATTTTAATAGAATGACCTGGTTGAACTCCCCCGGAAATGATTCTGAATCTCAATCAATCTGAATCCGACGCTGCCAATCCGACGCTAGCCTCACTTTGGTCGAAATTGGAGACAAAAACTTGTCCACATCCAAAGCCTTCTGCGAAGAAAAATATTCTAATAAAACAAGAGTTTGTTGAAATTTAAAAAAAAAAAAACTGAAACGAACTGCTCGAGTGTATCTTATGTCAGGATACTTTTGCAAGAATAAAAAGCTGGTGGTCTGTACAAGAAGTCAGCCTTAAAGCTGATGTTACACGACTCGATTTGCAACGACGATTTCTCGCGCAATGCTGTTTCGTATAAATTTTATGGGGTTTTAAAAATCCCAAACAGAATAAAGGAACAAGCATTTTGACATTCGAAAAAGTTTGCCATGTTTTGAGCTGACTTCAATTTATTGCAGCTTAAAACGACTAATTTTTTTCAGCGTTGCACGAAAAATCGCCGTTGCAAATCGTGTCGTGTAACATCAGCTTAACACAAGTAAAACTATGTGTCTTTGTTGTGCTATATAACAAATCACTTAATTACTGATCCCTCGGGAAACCAGTTAGTTTTGTTTCCCTTGAATCTCAATGTTTGCCTTGGCTCCGCCTCGAGAAACATCGAGATTCTTGGAAAACAAAATTGTTTCCCTCGGGACCAGTCATTAAGTGTTAAATATTTACCGAGCCTCGAGTCTTCGAGTTGTAGTATTTTTTAATTTATAAATTAATATTAGAGACAAGGCGATTTCAGGATTTAAAAAAAAAAAAACCTTTTTATATTACTTCCGCTCGTGCAAACTGTGGAAAACCTCATAATCACTGCTTGACCAGTGATTGTCGTCTCAGAATCACTGGTCGCTCGACCAATCACTGCTCAAGAAACTCTATATCCAAGTCTAAAATTATACTAAAAGAGTATATCCGAATATATCGGGATCAAAAAAATGTGACACATAATTATAATGGTGCTGATTTATTTTTTAGTTCAACTGGTATAACCACCTACAAGGAATGTTCGCCCCAAAACATCTTCACAAAACAGAAAAGTTTGACGTTTCTGCGCTGTCCTACTTAAAAGGTGCCATGGCATTAGTTCACAATACACCAAAGAGGTAATCTAACCCTGAGTAACAAACACACAAGCGAAACGGGAGAATTAGTACCAGCAATTGTCTTATAAAATATTTGATACTTCTAAATCTTCAAGGACCACAAAATTGGTGTTTGTAGTAAACAAAATGTTTTATTTTATTGGTATTTACATTTCCAACTAKAAATCGATTAGACAATTTCACAATGGAAAACTGACAAAACCTATTGTTAAAATTCTTCCAATAAGTTGAAGATGTCATGTCATAGGAGGCATTATTAAATATACAAAGCTTTTTAGTGTAGGATTGTAAAACACTCTGTATATAATATAACATTACTGTCTTAACTTTTGATCCCATGAAGAATCAATACTAAAATATTGATTTATGGGTTTTAGGCACTTTACATGATAAAATGTTTTATGTTAGAGTGCTCGCACTAAACCCGTGAAACAAATACTAATTTTTAGTACTAAATAGTGATAATCAAACAATAGGAAACAAAGGATTCTGTATGAATTACTATTTATTAAACCATGTCGGTCTGACAGTTTTAAGTAAAATACGATGAAAACGGTTCCGAGTAGGGAGAGCAACGTTATAAATCCAAATTTTGGACCAATGACGACGAGATGTAGAACTACAATATTTCGACTTTATTCAAGTCATAATCATGTGTGAAAACAAGACTACAGTAATGATATTTATATCAACGAGCTAACAATAGATAACAATATTGTCGGAATATTGTAGTTCTACATCTCGTCGTCTTTGGACCAAAATTTGGATTTATAACGATGCTCTCCCTACTCGGAACCGTTTTCATCGTATTTTACTATTTATTAGTACTAAATATTATATACGGGTTTAGTTCGTGCACTCTACAAAAGAAAATAGTCCTAATAGTTGTCTAGTAATTAAAAAAAATAAAATAAATGCGACTAGTTAAAGAGGGCATGTTTTCTATCAGATATCCAACGATCCCCATCCATTGCCCGTTGCCCAAATAATGCAAGAGACCAATGACCAATGACCAATGACCAATGACCAATGACCAATGACCAA